GAAATCTGTAAAGAATGATAACTTCGGGCACTTGATATAAAAGCCTGAAGTCAAAAGCTTTGTTTCTATTGGATGGCTAACTCCCTTGGGGGAACTTATAAAACTCTGATTGAATATAAGAGGCAAAAGTTCACTCTATTTTTGTTAAGACTTTAATTATTTATTTATTTATTTATTGTTTATTTTTCCAGTTGAAGTCTCAGTCTGTCGTCCAGGCTAGAGTGCAGTGGCACGCTCACGCTGCCTCAACCTGCTGGGCTCCAGTGCTCCAGTGATCCTTCTGCCTCAGTCTTCCAAGTAGCTGGAACAGGCGCACACTACCACGTCCAGCTAATTTCTGATTTATTGTAGAGATGAGGTCTCGCCAAGTTGATCGGGCAGGTCTTGAACCCATGGGCTCAGGCAATCTACTCATCTCGGCTGCCCAAGGTGCTGGGATTACAGGCTGAGCCACTGAGCCCAGCCAAGACTTTATTTTTTTTTAAGCAGTTTTAGGTTTACAGCAAAACTGAGAGGAAGGTGCAGAGATGTCCTATGTACCCCTTGCCCCATTGCCCACCAGCATGGGATGTTTGCTAAAACTGAAGAACTTAGTCTGCTATGTCATTACCATACGGAGTCTATAGTTTACATTAGGTTGTACTCGTGGTGTTGCATATTCTATGGGTTTGGAAAATTCATTTATTTTAAGATTTGAAAGGCCAGGCATGAGGGTTCTTGCCTGTAATTCTAGCACTTTGGGAGGCTGAGGCAAGAGGATCGCTTGAGCCCACGAGTTCAAGACTAGCCTGGGCAACAGAGTAAGAACTTGTCTCTACAAAAAAAAACCTACACAAAAATGAGCTGGGTGTGGTGGTGCCTGCCTATAGTCCCAGCTACTGGGAAGACTGAGGAAGAAGGGTCTCCTGAGCCTGAGCCCAGGAGGTTGAAGCTGTGGTGAACTGGGATCATGCCACTGCACCCCAGCCTGGGCAACAGAGTGAGACCCTGACTCAAACAAACAAAAAAAAATGATTTGACAGTCTAACTGACTGAGCTATTGATCATATTGAATCACAGTGCAAACTATAAAGTTTGAGGTTAAAAATCACTTGTTAAAGGTCATATGTATTTGTGTAAGTTTATGTCTTAATATGTATGTCCAGTAAAAGTATTTTGCTTTCTTGGTTAACTTTTAATTTGGGTTGAAAAGTATATGCATTTATCAATATAAAGTGACTAGATTAATTTGCATAGCTGCTCATCTCCTGTGACTGTACTTCTAAAACCAACCACACTGCCTGGATGTGCTTTCGTAAGTCTTATCTCATGTTAGGTATGAAGTAGTCTGAAGAAAACATGTGAGTACCCAATCCCTGAAGAAAGATGGTGTGCAAGAAAAAGTCAATGAGTCTCTTCCAACAAAATAATCCTTGTGTTTCATACTTTATCAAAGAAAACTTAAATTTTTCATGTTTTAGACAGAGCTGTGGTTTTCCCCTTCCTTCATTTAAGTGATATGTGAGAGTCAGCAGTTGAGGGAATTTTTAGTTTTCAATTTTTAAAATAGAAAAACAACTAGTCCATGCTGTTTGTTAAAGCTTGGTTTCCTTTCTGTTTTAGAGTTTTTGGTTTTATTTATTTATTTATTTATTTAATTTATTTTTTTGAGTTGGAGTCTCACTCTGTCGCCCATACTGGAGTGCAGTGGCTGCTTCCAGCCACCGCAGCCTCAACCTGCTGGGCTCCAGCGATCCTTCCGCCTCAGCCTTCCAAGTAGCCGGAATTACAGGTGCGCGCTACCATGCCCAGCTGATTTTTTTTATTTATTGTAGAGATGAGGTCTCGCCTGCCCAGGCAGGTCTCAAACCCGCGGGCTCAGGCAATTCACTCACCTCAGCCTCCCAAAGATGCGGGATTACAGGCTGAGACACCGAGCCCGGCTGAGTTTTTGGTTTTAGATTAAAGAATTTAATTCCTATAATGATAGTATGTAGGCACCATAGTAAAAATACTTGCCTTTTTTTTTTTTTCTTAATGCCAATCATGATTTGGGGTATAGGAAAGTAGAAAATGAAAAGGGGGACGATTCCAGTGTTGTTTGGTTTTAGTTTCCAATCTTAATTCAATTAGTGTTTATTTAAAGGAAAATTCTAGAATGTGGCAGGCAAGGCACAGTGGATCACATCTGTAATCTCAGCACCTCGGGAGGCTGAAGCAGGAGGCTCACTTGAGCCCAGAAGTTCCAGACCAGCCTGGGCAACATAGTGAAACCCCTATCTCTAAAAAATAAAAAAAAACACAGCGATCATGAAGATATGCCTTGTGACAATGTCCATAAACGTTTCAAAGACAGGCTGTCATCTGAGCTCGTCATTTACTGGGATGACAGACTATTAGAGGTACTATTAAATAAAACGTTATGAGGATTATGATAATATATGGGGACTTTTTTCTTTCTTTCTTTTTTTGAGTTGGAGTCTCACTCCATCACCCAGACTGGAGTGCAGTGGCATGCCCACAGCCAGTCCAGCATCAACCTGACGGTCTTCAGCAATCCTTCCACCTCAGCCTTCCAAGTAGCGAGAACTACAGGCTCGTGCTACCATGTCCAACGAATCTTTGACTTATTGTAGAGACAAGGTCTCGCCAGGCTGCCTGGGCTGTAGGGCATTTTTTTACATAAGCTCAAGTCAAAAGATTATAAAGGAAGTGAATATTGGTGGAGCCTCCGTTAAATGCCAGTCATATCTTATTTCATCCTTGCCACTGTCACATAGGGTCATCAAAGCATGAAAGTCTGAGCTATGATTACAATTATACAATGAATACATTTGCACCTATGAATAAGAACAGCCATGTGGTAGGATCAAGTGGAGATAGTTCTCTTAAATCGGTGGAACCATGGGTGTGCCAGTGAGGGATTGCGTTTAGCTGCTCATGGACAGACAAGTTAGTGCGGCTTAACCAAATGAGAGCACTATTTTTGTTTCACATAAAAACTCCCGAAGAAGTTGATCTCAGGAGGGTGTAGTGCTGCTGTCATCTGAGTCTCAAATCCTTCTTCCTTTCTACTCTGCTGCCCTTGAGGTTTGGCTGGGTCCTCAGTGATTCTTTATGATTTGAAGATGGACGCTTCACCATCACCCTCACCTCTGTATTCTAGGCAAGTAGGGGAAGAAGTAGGGCAGAGGCCCTGCCAGCAGACGCTCCCTCCCTTTGAGTTTTCCTGGAAGTCCCATCCAGGGACTTTTGGTTCTATGCCACTGATCAGAACTTATGGCACACAGTTCCTGTGAGCTGAGAGGGAGTCCAAAGCTGGGCATAGTGCCACCTGGAGTAAAAACGGGGTTATGTTGCTAAGGAGGAAGGGGTGAGAAGGATAGCAGATAAGTAACCAGCAAGTGTCTGCCAAATTTTTCCCTGAATGCGGTGACACTTGTAATCATAAAATTGGGGCTGGCGAAGGTAAGAGGGACATCTGCTCATGGGTGAGATGTTAGTGGCCCTGATTACTTCTTTTTTTCTTTCTTTTTTTTTTTTGTGGGGGGGCAGGGTCTCTGTTTCCCAGGCTGGAGTGCAGTGGCATGAGCAGGGCTCACCACACCTCAACTTTCTGGGCTCAGGAGATCCTCCTTCTTTAACCTCCTGAGTAGCTGGGACTACAGGCCTGTGCCACCATGCCTGGCTTATTTTTTAAATGTTTTTGTAGAGACAAAGTCTCACTGTGTTGCCCAGGCTGATCTCAAACTCCTGGGCTCAATCCATCCTCCTGCCTCAACCTTCCAAAGTGTTGAGATTATAGGTTGAGCCACTGCGTCTGGCTAGGTTTCTTAAGTGATATTTAGATCCTTTAGGGTTTCTCCTTTTCACGTGATCTTAAGAAGGCTTTATCCTAGAAGATCTGTAAAGAGGCAAGAAGGTAGAGTTTTGCTACTTTTTTCAGGACTTATCTGAGAGTTCAGAGAAAAATGGAGTATTGAAATTTCATGCTGAAGCAGATTTGGATGATTTAGGGGAGGTTGTGAGGATGTATACTATGCCTGAGGCTTCGCTAAGTCTCAGTTTCTCCTGTGTGAAATATACTATGACCTGTTGTGCCTAGAGAGTTTTTATGAAAGTGATGTGGATGAGGTAACGCCTGCGTTTTTGTGTAGAGCAGTACAATTTACAATATCTGATCTATTTCGTTTGGTGGTCAGAGTCACCTATTTCATGGTATAGGTGAGAATTGAGCTTAGGACTTCAGATTCCTCCTCCAGATAATACATGGCAGGGTTGACATCCCCTTTGATCACATGACTCTTATGACTAATAACTCTGTAATTCAGCATTTCATGCGATCCAGGTCAGCAGTTCCATACTAACATCCCTGGATGGGTGAAAATATGGTGGTGGGAGATAGGAGGGAGCAGCCCTCAGGTTAGATGATGCAAGTCGGTCTCTCAGTTGGCTGATGAGTCCTGTATAACCACTCAAGTGTTCGTGAGATGCAAATGACAGAGGAATGATCAAGGGCTAGACTGACTGAAACATCTAGAAAGGGGAACCGTATTTACCTGTTCATGTTTACCTGTTGATGTATACTCTCTATATAATGCATGTCAACTTATATCTCAACCAAAGCCAAGTAGTGAGGAATATATTTTATTGCATCTTATATGTTGATAGAGAAACATATGAAATTATACAAATCAAACACAAATTTTCAGCATCTAGAATGTCACCAATAGAAGTGTTTATAATCGTTCTGTAATTTTCTGGTGCCAGAGATATGTTGAGTTGAATGTTAAAGCAATATGTTTTTATTCTGCATATTTTTTGATGTAAGTATTTAAAAGCTTAAAAATTAAGAACCATTTAGCTATCTGTCAATTGCACAATTTCAAAACGTTCTAAGAACGTTTAATAATAAGCTGGGCATGGTGGCTCACGCCTGTAATCCCAGCACTTTGGGAGGCGGAGGCAGTAATACGAATGTGCCTTATAAGTCATGTGTATTTTTTTTTCTCCCTCCTCAGCGAGTTACCTGAGAGAGAAGAAGGCGAAGGAGAAGAAACTCCAAACTTCAGCCACTGGGGACCCCCAAGAATGTATGTGGATTCTCCTGTCTCTAACTCAGTAAAGCAACATTCAGTCATTAAATTTTCACTTCATTTTGTCTTATCTAGAGATTTCCTAGCCAGATAAAAAAAGACTTTAACCAACATTAGGAAAAACTTTTGGTATTCTTTCAGAGAATGCAATTTACCACTGTCCATTTATGATAGTAACTGATGGACCAAGTACAATCTGTCACCGTGTCATTTAGCAAGTCAGGTAAAGTAACCTTGAATGCAGTGAAAGCTGCTTTTTTGTAAACAACAACAGTGACTGAGGCTTCTAGGATGTATCAGTTTATCTCTACCCCGCTCTCCTGGGGGGGCATCCAGGTTTGTGCTAATAGATTGTGTTGAAAAATTTATCTTCCTTGGGGTAGTTTTAAGGACTCAGCCGGACTGTGCTTTACGATGATAAAAGTCTTCCTGTAGCCACACTCTCTGTTCTGCATGTATTATTAATTCCCCTGCTTCCATCCAACATGCCTGTTTTTTTCTTGTAATTGGATTCCGAGTTTTGTCTTAAAAACTCTTAGGAACACCTTCTGATTTGTTTTTTAATTTAAATTACTTATTGGCCACATCTTTGCAAAATCTGTAATAATTTGAGGGTCAAGTTTCATTCTGTACTTTCTTTTTTAAAATGGCATTGAGGTAGGAAGAAAAGAAATCCTTCTCTAGCCTCAGGGGCAGATCAACTCTGTTCTCTAATTAAGAAACCACGGAGTTGCCTGCCTCTTCGTGATGACATGGAGCAGACCACCACCCAGTCACCCTAATGATCTTCCCCCATCAAGGGGGATGGTTAAAAGGACTCAACCACAAACAACCAGTGGCCATTGCCTTGCTGGACTCTGGTGTGGCTGTGTGCTCTTTGAGCTATGGCTGTCGCCATGCTTCCTGGTGTTGGTCCCCTTCCCCACCTTGGGTAGGTGAATTTTCCCTCTCCCTTCTTTTTCTCTCTCTAATTTACTTTTAAATAAACTTTTCTTTCTTTGAAAAAAAAAAAGAAACCACAGAGTTAAACTTGCCAAGTGGGAAGAGCAGCTTGGGCAGTGAGCCTCTTGACCGCAAACTTATTTTATTCGGAAAGTCTGTGCTTTTTGCCAAAATGATATATGCAGTTTTCTTGTTTTGTGTGTGTGAGTGTGTGTGTATGTTTCTGTTTTTTAAGCCATTTGTTATTTCCCCAGTGCATTCTATGCTAATATTACGGATATAAATAAAAGAGAATAACCACAGAAAATATAGCATCACAGGAAGTCAGGGAAGTTGGGAACATAAAGGCCCAGCTAAATCTTCTCTGACTATTAAGTGTTGTATGCTTTGTTTTAGAAACCCGTCTTTTTTCAAAAACAGAAACTTTCGTATGTTATGAGTTGCTAAGAGCATTTTATAGTTTTTGAACTAGGTATCACTTATATAACATTTGTAAAAACATATTTAGAACATGTATAAAATATGAGTCACAAGGATGTGGTAAAAACTGAACACTTACAGTGACAGTCCAACAGATTAAATTAACTTGTTAATGAGTGAGTTTTGTTTTTTTCCTTTTTATAGTGTTGAGATTTTTAGACAACCCAATGTGTCTCTTGGTATCAGTATTGTTGGTGGCCAAACCGTTATAAAACGCCTGAAGAATGGAGAGGAGCTTAAAGGAATATTTATCAAACAAGTTTTAGAAGACAGTCCAGCAGGAAAAACAAATGCACTCAAAACTGGAGATAAAATACTTGAGGTAAGTGATGCTTACGTACTGCTTATGTTTTGGAAACATACTGTGAAATAGTAAGATAATCATTTAACTGGAAGACCTTTCTTTGTGGGTTGGGAACTGTGTGTACAATTGGTGTGCTCCATTTATATGCCTTAGTTTGTACATTGTATGCTCAGCTTACGAGTTTCTGAAGTGGGGAAGGGGTGGGGTAAGCAAATAAAATGATGAAAGACAAACCCCAGCTGACTACAAAAAACAATTTAGCTAACAAAGTGCTCTATATAGCATGAGGCAGATGGTAAGCATTATGCATCTCCCACAGTCTTTAACAAGCTCTAAATTTTTTTTTTAAGCTCTAAATTTTATAATCATGTGTCTGTAGGATATCTATGCCTGTTTAGAGAAAGGAGTTGACCCCAGCAGGTCGAATACTCCATTCAGAGAGAGGTGGAGCTGTAGTTTACGTATGACGGACCTTGCAGGAGCAAAGTTGGAAAGGCACATCAAAGCACTGAGAATGCTCCGAGGTCTGACTGTGATCCATTTCTTTGTGTTGAGTTTATTGGGTGGCACACCCTAGTGGGTAGCTCCAATCCCAGAATCTGCTTGTTCTCAATTCACGCTCACCATCAGCTGGAGTATTTCAGTTCTTATAAAATGAAAAGAGCCCTGGAGTCATAGGTTGGAGTCTGGACTCTGTCTTTTTTTAAATTTTCTATGTATTTTTGCACAAATTATTACAGCCACCTTATTTTCAGTTTCCAAATAAAGTGGAAATGTTCATTCAAATTTGATAGCATTATTTTGTGAGAATTAAATCAAAGGATTACATAAAGCTACTCTGTATATCCAAATTGTGAGTTATATGTGTGCTGTGAAATGTTTAGGGAAGAATTCAAACACAGTGGTAGTATGGCAGTGAAGAAAATAACCCAAAGTCCCTTCCCTTATGGTGTTTACATGATAGTCGAGAATATGGGATAGGCTCAAAAATAAATAAGTGAAATATAAAATGTAGGTTGTAGTACATGGCGAGGGAGCTAAATAAGGCAGGGGAGGAGGATAAGCAGTGCTGGTTGGTGTGAAAGCAGTTGTTACAATTTTAATAGATTTGTTACGGGCCGAGTTCATTGGCTTAGCCTGTGCTCCCAGCACTTGGGGGGGCTGAGGCGAGAGGATTGCCTGAACCCGTGGGTTCGAGACCAACCTGGGCAACATGATGAGATCTTGTCTCTCAATAAAAATCAAAAAATTAGCTGGGTGCAGTAGCACGCGCCTGTAGTTTCAGCTCCTCGGAAGGCTGAGGTGGAAGGATTGCCGGACCTCAGTGGGTCGACGCTGGGGTGGCCATGAGCTTGCCATTGCACTCCAGCCTGGGCAATGGAGTGACACTCCAACTCAGAAAAAAAAAAATAGATGGAAGATGATATAGGGATACACAGGAAATGAGAGAGTGAGCCCTCTGGATATATGGAGGAAGAAGAAAGTGCCAAAACGCTGAAGTGGGAGCTTGCCTGAATGTGTTCAAGGAGCAGCCAGATGTCCACCGTTGATCTTGTAGAGTGAACAAGGGAGAAGGCGGAAGAGGAAGGGTCTGAGGAGTAAAGGGAAGCCATAACATGTGGAACTGGAAGGTCTGGAAGGTCTTTTCCTGTGAATGCAGTGGAAGTCCATAGGAGAATTGATTATGAGCACACATATACAGGGGGACTGCAGAAACCTAGAATTTATTTATAAAAAATTGTGTGTTTATTCCTACATGTTTAAACATCAGTCACCTTCAAAGGACTCTCCGTTTGATGCAATACATCTATTGAGATCCGTTTCCTACTGCTCAAAACAGTTTTTGAACTCATCAGTTTTGATGCTTTTTAGTGCTTTTGCCGTTTTAGTTTCACTTCTTCCCATCGGCTAAACATTTCCCTTTGAGGACTTTTTCATCCGAGAAACAAAAGAAAGTTGCTTGGGGTGAGTTCAGGCAAATAGGGAGGGTGGGACATGGGGGGGGCGTTCGTGCTGGTTTTGGTCGCAAACTGTGGAACACGCAGCTCGGTGTGGGCAGGTTCGTTGCCATGGTGAAAGAACCATCACCTCTTTGCTACAACTCAGGAAGTTTCTTCCACAAATTGTGATACAACCTTCTCAAAACTTCCAGATAAAACTTTGGTAGACCATTTGATCTGGAGGAAAAAATACCGAGTGTGCTATAAGGAGCCGGCCCTCCAAACGATAATGGAGGCTTTTTTGGGTCCCCCCTCAAGCTGTTTAAAATATATCCCGTCTTCTGGGGCCGACGTAGAAGCAGGGACCATAGCTGGAAGGCTGTTGCAATCATTTAGGAGATAGAAAGAGGTGGCCTTGACAGGAGAAGGACAGCCAGGATGTGAATATAAGTAAGTAAAACAACAGGACTTACTGACAGATTGGATGCAAAAGAGAAAAGAGTCAAAGATAATTTACAAACCTGTCAGCTTGAGGACTCAAAGATGGAATTTCCATTTATGGAGAAGGGGAAGACTATGGGAGGAGCAGTTTTTGGGAAGACATGTCTCGGGCACATTAAGCTGAAGATGCCTGTTTGACATCCAAGTCAATGTAATAGGCAGTTAGATAAGCAAATAAGGAGTCCTATATCCTTGCTTATTTTTTCATCAGTTTCAGTTAGAGTTTGTCTTCCGCCATGATTATAGATTTGTTCATTGTTCCCTGCAATTCTGCTAGTTTTTGCTATATATAATGAATGGTTTTGTTGTTAGGTGCATAGAACTTCATACCTTTTTGCTGGCTTGTTTTTGACATTATGTATTTTCTCTCTTTATTTCTATGAGCTACTTTTTGCTTTAAATTTTGTTTTATTAATATCGGTAACAATGCCTTTTTTTTTTT